CTAAGGAGTGATTGATACTCTCATATAAGACTTATATACTATAAGTAGACAGATACTTAGTATCTGTCTACTGCTGGGATAAATAGGTATACAGATATTTGCATCCTGAACATGAAAAGAGATCAATGAATCTGCTATCCTGAGTGCAGTTTCCAGATTCCACTAGATTCTATCTGGAACTTGGCAGGGTGAAATTTGAAATACTCAGTTGAGAACTTTTAGATCAATAATCACGAGCATGTCGGCCACATTCTTCTTCAGCATAAAGGAAACTGGGAATAGAACACCTTGCTCAACTTAAACATTTATATTTGTTTTGTTTATTTTTTGTTTGATGCTGCACTGATCAGTAGTACAGCTATATGGCAGTAACATTGGGAACTGGCACTAGTACAACATGAAACTGAGAAACACAACCTCATATGCATATTATTAATATGATATTTTGCAATTAAAAATGCAGACTTCAACTGGAAAACAGAATGATGAGGAACTGGCTTGAAACAATGACTCGAGAGACTACACAGACGGTGAATTATTGACAGTTGCTGTTCATAACATGAATTTTATACAGTAGGATAAAATGATCTTATCAGACCCAGAAATGTGTTGCTACCATGTTACAAATCATCAATATCATGTATAAATCACCAAATCAAGAATTATATATAATTTTCTATTGAGCAGCCTGTTTTTGTCAGGTGCAACAAGGTAATTATCTAAGGTTGCACGTGGCTACTTCAAGGACATTCTGCATAATGTCAAGGGAGAAAAGGAGGTTTATGCTGTCACCAATAAGCTCCTGTTCAGACAGAATAAGAAACTGTTACCATCCTCTGTTTCTGGGGCTGCACTATGAACCTTGTTCTCTGACTACTTCATGGATAAGATCATCAATATACGATCAACTTTGTCGAATCAACATGCATTGTATGACGTTTGTAGTCCATCACAAATCGAATATGACAGTAAATGTAGCTTGAATTCTTTTCGTCCCACCATCGAACAAGAGGTGCAAAGATTCATACAGCAGTCTTCCAACAAATCAACTTGACGTGATGCCAACATGGCTCCTGAAGAACTGTATGCATGCTGTTGTACCCATCCTGACCCACATCATCAACTCATCTCTGTCTGAGGGATATGTTCCTGTGTCTCTCAAGTAGACAGTTATCACCCCACTGCTGAAGAAACCGAACCTCGATCCAGAAATTTTGAAACATTATCGGCCAGTGTCAAATCTTCCCTTTGCCTCCAAACTTTTGGAACGTGTGGTAGTACACAGACTGAAAGAACACATCATTGTCCATGACTGTTTGGAGCCTTTGCAGTCTGCATACCGTACACACCATAGTATGGATACAGCCTTGGTGAGAGTCCTAAATGACCTCCTTCACGGAGTTGACAAGAATGGTGCTGCAATTCTAATTCTTTTAGATTTGTCGGCAGCGTTAGACACAATCGACCATGACATCCTCATCAGCACCCTGAAGGAAAGAGTAGGTATCAATGGCACAGCGCTTCAGTGGATTCGTTCATACCTATCAGAAAGGTACCAACATGTCGTAATCGGTGACCACTCATCTGACTACAAGGATTTTGTCGATGGAGTTCCGCAGGGATCTGTCTTAGGCCCCTTGTTATTCACAGTGTAGACTTGTCCCTTAGGAGACATAGCCAGATGCTGCAGTCTTTCCTTCCACCTTTACACCGATGACACACAGATGTATCTTTCCTTCAAGCCAACTTGTCGCCCGTCATCCACTACAGAATTTGCGCAAATTGAGAGCTGCGTACAGGCAATCAAACATTGGATGACAACACTGGCTGAAGCTAAATGGAGAGAAAACAGAAGTTCCCATCATTACATCAAAGCGAGCTGCTGAACATCTTCCTCTACCAGACCTCCATATTGATGGTCATATCATTGTCCCAAGTCCGGAGGCTAGAAACCTTGGTGTCATTTTTGACTCCCACTTATCCCTGGATGCTCATATTAAGTCAGTTTGCAGCAAGTCATTCTAACACTTACGGAACATCTCGCAAATCCGGCGCTACCTTGATGAGAGGACAACCTGTTCGTTGATCCATGCGTACATTTCATATCGGATGGACTACTGCAACTGTCTACTCTATGGCCTGCCTCAATCCTCAATAGGAAAGCTCTAACGCGTACAAAAATTTTCTGGCGAGACTTGTTTCCAGATCACAGAAATACTCTCACATAACTCCTGTTCTGCAGAGATCACACTGGCTTCCCATATCAGACAGAATCCAATACAAACTCAATCTTCTTGTTTTCAAGTGTCTCAATAACCTAGCTCCAAACATCTATCTGACCTGATCACCAGATATCAGCCCCACCGAAGTCTCCGATCTGAAAAGCTTGGTCTTCTTCTTGTCCCATGCTTTAAGTCCAGGTTTGGGGATCGATCATTTCAGGTGGCAGGACCCACTTTCTGGAATCATCTTCCACTGGAGCTAAGGACAATAAACAACCTGAAGATTTTCAAATCCAAACTGAAGACATACCTTTTTAAGAAAACATACAGTGTCTAACTTTTCTTTCTTGAGCTGTTCGGAGATCGCTACTGAGCAGTACTTTAGGACTGGAATTGGCCCTATATAAATGTTTTCATCATGATGATGATGAAGTAGGTTTCATTTCCTTAATTAAGCCCTGTCTTGGTGCTGTCTGTGGTCTTTAATTCGTGTTGTTTACATGATACGTTCCAAAAGACGTCATCAGTCATTTAGCTGGCATCTAAGATCTAGTTGCTTATGAAATACAGTTTGTTTCCAAATGTTGGCAAATGACTCAAGGCCATCAACAAATCTAAGTGGTAGGATTTGATCCAAGATACTCAGTGTCCCGACAAACAGAAACAGTGTTGACTTCTTCCTCTTCATCCCCTGTGACCTCCTCTTCTACCTCTCTGCTCAAAATGTCTAGAGCTATCCCTTGCTTCTGTGCTGAGAGGGCTTGTAGGCCTGTCCTTCCTTCTGTTCACATGGAAGGATGATTTCTCCAGTGGAAAGAACTTTTTCCACTTAGAATCCTGAAAGCATGATCTCAGCATGACTCTCTTGGTCTGGAATGCTTAACTGTGACTATTACCTGCTTCATTGATAAAGGAATGTCATGTTTTGTGAACTTCCTCAAAGACCCTTGTAACTTCTCTTTAAAAATATGTTGAGACAAAACAAGTCTCCTGTAGTGTTCCACCTGGCTTCAGCTAAGCACAGATAATCCATGCAATAGATAAACTCCTGAGTGTGGTGTAGGACATGTACCGTCCTTAACAATGTAGGTGTGGGTGCAGGTGCAGGTGCAGATGCAGCTGAGCACAGTACTTCCCAGCTTTTCCAAAAAGGAGAAGCCTTTGTCCCACAATACACCACTTTTAATTACTTACATGACCAGATCCAAGAACTACTCTGATGTAAATGAGTGAGTGAGTGAGTATGGTTTTACACCGCTTTTAGCAATATTCCAGCAATATTCCAGCAATATCACGGCGGGGGACACCAGAAATGGGCTCACACATTGTACCCATGTGGGGAATCGAACCTGGGTCTTCGGTTTGATGAGCAAACGCTTTAACCACTGAGCTACCCCACCGCCCCCTGATATAAATGGCATACTAATAGTGAATGTTAACTGACAAATGAGATTAACTAAAGGGCCCAAACTACCAAAATGTGCAAGTTCAAGTACATAGCACACAAATTAGAGACGTGTGCACGAGCCTTTGTGCAGCAAGATAGTATGTTTTGCACAACTGTTTATGAATGGTTCACATAGAAGAGGACTTGAGTTAAAAATATGAAGATTTTATGTTGCAAGGATAGCTAATATATGTTACTTATGGCAGTGATGTAATAGAGGTATGATATACATCTGTATACAAAGGAATTAATTTGACTTGATCAATTGTACTATCCACAATTATCAAATTACCTTTTTCAGCAATCTCGATTTTTTGCATATCTACCTCCACATTAATCGTGAAAAATATATGTATTATTGAAAGGCGCTACATTATATTTAGTCCCCACTCATTCCTCGTGGTAGTTTCTCACCCTTTAAATAAAGCAAAACTTTGTTAAGAAATAATTAAAGCTTTTCATTCATGTAATATATTCTTCTTTTCTGTCATTCTTATCAGCTAAACCTAGCTGAGATAATTATGATGTTATTGTTCATTGTTAAAGCTGAATAATTACACATGTATATAGAAATTATAGAGATTATATTATATAATAATAATAACATAATAATAGTCCATTTATCATGCGCATTGCTCCATGCACAATGTATGCTCAAAGCACCCAAACAATCTGATTATTATTACCCCAGATAACCCAAGCTGCTTGTTAGGCGCTAGAGGGTTATAGTCACATGACTTCATCCCACTGAGTATCCATTTTCTGCTGGGTGAACAAGGGCAATTTTGAACAAACTCACTTGCCTAAGGTGAGACCACATGTATCACATGTGCTTCGTTGTGGGACAGGACTGAAGTCCTGGAAACTCTCTGGAGTTCAGCTGCCAATCACAGGTCACCCATCCAATGACACTGCGCCCAACATTGCTTAAACTTCACCTGATTTGTGACCAGAGCTCTATGCACAGGAACACGTGCCACCACTTTTATGTTGAAAAGTTCCTTTTGAATTTTTTTTAATGTTTCACAGAAATTCATTTATATCACAATCAAAATAATCACAAATAATGTCTCTATAAATGGATGCACATTCTCTCCTGGTCTGTTATAGTCCAGACGAATTTTATTTCTTGTTTTACGGATCATATTTTTTCAAGAATAAGAAAAAAAAGAGAAATTAATTTTCCCCACTCAAAAATAAAATCCTAATGCTTTTATTGGCCAAAAATGTAAACTTACAAGAAATTCTTTTTAGAATTTTTTTTTGCCAGATATACACTTCATAAATTGCCAAAAGTAAAATACTTTTAGAATTTAGAAGGAATATTACTTTGACTGGTGATTTTATTTTATTGTTTTTTCCCTCCTGCCTTTAGGTTTTCTGAGGACAAAATCCATAAAACAAGAAATAAAATTCGTCTGGCCTATCCGTGAAAAATACAGTAAACTGATAATATTATGCAGTGCCTAACCTAATTATGTAGCATAATGTCTGAACATCATGTTTGACATACAGAATGATTACCGGGGGTCGGGTACTAAACTTGAAATTGCAATATAAACAATGGAAGGTTGATTTTAGCAAAGATAATAGCTGCTTGTCTATAATTAGTTTCCAATTAATTACTGTGGGTCCATGAATATGACAGACTTAAATCCCTTAATCCATCCTCACTGATACAGAATTACTAATTTTCACCATGACAATATAAACATATATACGGCATAGAATAACTGGGAACAGTGAATACGTCCTGCAGCAGTTATGTTTACACAAGTTATTCTAAAGTATCCAGTAGATTGTCGGTTTGATGACACTACACTGTTGCCAGAACTAAGCACTGAACACAAGATGTATGCTACATATAAAGGTGAGAAATTATTGATGTCAACTTATGTTGATGCAATGAACAATTCCTTACAGTAATAACCACTAAAAGTCCTTCAGGAGAAAAAGAGGAATTGTTAAAAGCTTATGGAAGCCAATACCTAGAGACAATGAGAGATGATTTGTGACTTAGTGAACGTTCAGACCACATGAACAATATAATGTTATAGTGCCTTGACAAAATGGGAAGAGTTGTATAACATTTATGAAAGATATAGCGGGTACAGTATACAGATCCTCATTCAAACACGTTTGGGGAACAAAATTTTGTTTATAAGACTTTACACACCTAAATCAGTTTATGGTTAGTTCTGCATAGTAAGTATTATTTACAAACACTCCCTTCCCACACTATTCCCTGAAACGTTTCTACAACTACCTAGCCCACAGATGTCTATGGTACATGGCCTGGACATCTCCGACTATTTGAAACACAGACTTAGTCAATGAGTCTGCAAGAAGCAATAATCTTTTTCCATCTTGAGAGTATGCTGTCCCTTGGTTGTGACCAAAACTTTCGCAAAAGAGGCCATCCTTTCTTTGAAGTGGTCAAGACATAAGTGTTTTCGGGTTCCAAAAAGTTAGCATGAGCTCCTAAAGTGAGAGACTGTGCCAGTCTTCCTGCGATACATACAAAAATGACATCCCATTCAACAGGAGTGAGCTGTCGAATGCTCTCATAGCCAGCTAAAATATATCCTGGAGTATCAAGCTGGTCAGCGACTTCAGAGTCTATCATGAGGTATGCAATATTTATTGCCAGATCCAGTACTAAGTAACTGTTTGCAACATCAGAGAAGTCCAAGATGCCACTGATCTCATTGTCCTCACCTCCAGGCACTTTAGACACAAGGATGTTTTGTTCATTTGGATCTCCGTGGATGTAACCTGTTAACAAATGAAGAATGAATTTGAACATTAAGGAACCTGAAAGTTGTTTGCATTGCACACTACTTGGACCCATTCCCAAACTTTTGAGGCTACGTACCAGCTGTGACTCATTAGATACATTAACAAAAGTCATCAGAAGATGACCGATGCACCCGGATCCATCCACATTTGTTTTCTATTGAGGGAGTATTGCTCCTAATCAATGCTTTTTTGTATGAAAGGCAATATGACCGTATACAAAGGAGTTAAAATAGCATCAATAACATACAGTACAACCAGAAATTATTGAGAATTTAAGATTGTAATTTTTTTTAAATTTTCACTCATTACTCACTTATTAAATGTGAATATTAGCAGAACATAACTCCAGATTCAAAGACAGGTGAACAGTTAGTATTTTGTCAAGTCACCATGGGCAGCAATGAAGGCTTCAATGCGGCGGGGCATACTACTGATCAAAGAAGTTAGAAAGCCGTGGTCCAAGCTGTCCTAATATCGGACCACCTCCTCTTTCATTTCAGCAATATTTGCCAGATTTTTCTTATTGACACTTACCTTCATAAGTCCCCAAACATTTTCTATTGGATTTAGGTCAGGGCTATAGCTTGGCCAATCTAATAATGTCATATTTTGGGTCCGAAACCAGGCCTGTGAATGCTTTGAACGATGTTTTGGGTCATTGTCCTACTGGAAAATCCAAATATTTCCATAGAACACGTGAGCACATGGAAGTAAATGTCCCTCAAGAATATCTGTGTACCGCTCACTGTTCATATTCCCTTCAAATACACAGAGGGGCGTTGCCCCTAAACACAAATATGCCACCCCACACGTTAAATTTCGGACTGTACTTTGGGCGCTGATACAAAGGTTTTTCAGTTTGTTTGGTCCAGAATTTCAGTGTATTAGGAAACAGCCACACAGAACTTTCATCTGAGAAAATCAAATTGTCCCAGTTAAAATTTCTATGCTGTAAGCACCAGTTCAACATTTGCTCTTTTTGTTCAGGTTTCATGATCGGTAATGGAATAACTCGACTTTTCTGCCAACCCATTGCATGCAGCTCAGTTCTAATTGTCTCCTTACAGACAGCCACAGTTCCTCTATCAATCATATCCAGCCTTAAGTTTTCTAAACTCCTTCGTTTGTTTTTAGAAACAAGAATACCAAGCCGCCTCCTGTCACCGCCAGTCAATTTTCTGGGCCTACCTGTGCCTCCCTGGTGCTCAATGCCATATCCATTTGCAATATTGTTCAAAACACGATAAACAGTGGACAAAGGGATGCCTGTTCACTTTACTGATCTGATGTCCTTGTTATAATACTCTAAAATCAACTTCCTCTTCTCTAAATCATCCATACTGAGGATCACTGAATATGTCGTCTGCGAGCAAGTCAACAAAGGGGGATAACTCTTCATAAACTAATGAAAAAGGATGAATGGAGTTGTCTCTCTTGAATGAAACCAAACACTTGATAGCTGGTCAAGGTTATTTATACTAGAAATCCAATCAAACATATTCCTAAAATTCTCAATAATTTCTGGTCATACTATACTGTACCAATGTAAGGTTTTAATTTGTTTCTTAACAAAAATGTGTGAAGAATAAAAAGGGCAACTCCATGCTGTTTTTGAGGTTCCTTGCAGGACAGTAAGGAAGAGAGTATTTTAACATTGACAGATAAAATACATTGTGGTTAATACTTGTTATTAAATTGTCATATGTAGGGCAAAAAAGATAAACAGAAATTCTTGTTTGATAATGTCACAGAATGGACAGAAGTTTGAGGATTTTGAATAGATAAATATCTTCCTATATCATTAAGGCCTAGTCGAAATAGTGCAAGATAGTTAAAAAAGACTCTGGTTCAAGTAATGACTTAACCTGATGATAGGAATATTATCTTGGTTATTTACATTGCCAACTGCCTGCAATAACCAAATAAAGCCAAAGCCATATCTAAGCAGTATCTAAGCAGTAATGCATAGATACATGATGCCCTAGTGTTCTTACCAAGGTTATCAAGATGTACAGGCATGTTGTGGGCTTTCTCAGGCAACAATGTTCACACATATTAATAATTTCATACCAATATTTCAAACAATGAGAGTATGATATAATGTACAATGGGAATCTCCCACATTCACCATAAACCAAAACACTTGGTGTCGACATACCAACATTATGAAACTTTGTACAGGCAAGCTAACTTTTTCTATTGTATAATACTCCTTATAATCCCATATCTCAGATCCTGATAGTAATATACTTTGTATTTGATAATCAAATACTTTAAAATAAATATTTACTGCAATAACACTAGGTTTATGAATGACAGAGGGAAGTTGTAAACATGTTTCCTAAGCTCTGATCACCAGGTTCATTATAGACTTGTTCTGAATCAAAACCTCACTAGCAACATAACCACAGTGAACACATGATTTGGCATTTGGATACATGAATCTTACAACAATGTATATTTCCCCTTTGAACTTCTATTTCTCAAGCATTTCTACATCCTAACTACATCCTAACTCTATCAACTGTATCAAAGACTTTTTGAAATCCATGAAAGCTATACACAACTTTTGTTTGATAAAGGATACATATCTCTCAATGACTGCATACAAGGTAAATATTCATTCGATCAAGGTTAAATTTTCCTTCCTAAAACCTGGTACTAAATCTCTCATGTTTGACCACTATGTTAATCTAAAGTTGATAATAGACTTAAAGCTTCACCAAGAATACTAGTTAGAGAAACACCCCTATAATTGTTGGGATTGTTTACATTACCATTTGTATATAATAGAATAATGATTCTAATGATTGCGCCCAGACAGAAAGAAATGTAATGCATGTGTTAAACACTTGATTGAAGCTTTTATCCAGAAAAGGCATGATGTTGGTAATGAGTATTTAAGTATTTCTTATATAAGGCCTAAAACAATTTTGTGGTTCCAATACTGGTGACAACCCTATTTTTCTTAAGCAGTATGAATAAAATATCTTTCAGATACCATTGTTTTTTCCCGGCACCGATGGACATTGGTCATTCTGTTAGAGAAAGTCGGCAGATGGCCGCAAGTTTGATTGAATAAACAATTACACATTGTTAGTTTGTACTTAATTTCTGAAAAAATGTAAAAAACCCCAAAACCCAACCTACCCTAAACTTTAAAGAGGTGTAATCGGAACCACAACCTTTTTCTATTAGGCTTAACACAATCAAACCTTGCAGATTTACCAACCTTATTTCACATTCCATTATAGGTGATTTGAACAGAACCCTATGAACATCATTTTGCTCTTTACTTGCATAATCATTATCCCCATCTAAAATCACATTGTCAACATTGTATAAAACATCTTTGTTTGAAAATAGATTCTAAGATGACATTACCATTCTGTCTGGCATATACAGGTAGTTCCTGTAGGGACAGAGCATCTTTGTGGAGAATGTATAGCTTTCTGTGTAGAGACATATCAAGTTGAGTGAGCTTTGATGATTGAATATCACAAAAGTTTTTCTTTAAGAAGCTATATAAAAAAGAAACCTTTACTATACTTAGGGATATATGTAAATTTTGAAATTATGAATAATGATCTATTTATTCATTGACACACTGATAAAATATCAATCATAAAAATACCAATATCCCTAACTTATTTTGTCCAGTATATTATATTCACTGTCATAACTTAAAAATCTTCTGAGAGCCTTCCTGGTTTCTGACCTAGCTAGTCTGCAAGCTATATTCAGTTTAGGTTTACAAGATTCAGGATAAAAATGTAATATTTCTCTGTTCATACATGAAGCCGAATCCAAGGCACACTGAACTTAACCTATGATCCCCTCTTCATGAGATGTGTCAATTTCAGTTAGTGTTAATTTAGTCAGGGATATTCTACAGCAGGGATAGGTCACTGGCTTGCTTTCTCTACCAGGTCTACCATACAAACAGTAAACAAATCATCAAAACTGAACTCATATACACCAAAACAGAACAAAAATCACCAAAATAGGAAAATAAAACTGCAAGAATATCCTCTAAAACCGAAACAATACATCTGTAATGGAAGACTAATCGTTTGAAATGGAATTGGAAGCCTGACACTGAGAAGTATCGACATAGGTTTGAAGCTTACTACAATAGGGGATTGATGGGCTACATCTTGATATCAAATTTTCCAGATTAGACTCATAGTGATGAAAAACATTATGTACCAAAGCCTATTCTTCTCCCCTTGCCCCACCATTTTGACGATTTGTATGCCCGTTTCGGGATGCTATGACTGCTGTGTTGGGATGCTATGAATGCCGTTTTGTACGCTCAGCGACCGTTCTTGCACGCTCTTGTAGCTGATACGTGAGTTTTGTTTCCATTTCAAACGATTAGTCTTCCATTACAGATGTATTGTTTCGGTTTTAGAGGATATTCTTGCAGTTTTGGAATTTTTTTTTCCTGTTTTGGTGATTTTAGTACTGTGTTAGTGTATATGAGTTCAGTTTTGATGATTTGTTTACCGTTTGTATGGTAGGCCTGTCTACCATTTGTACTAATTAGTGTGTGCCTCGTCATTCTCCAACGCATACAGTGACTTGGTTCGTTCCCAGTGCAATTTTCGTTGCGTTTAACAGTACTTCAGCCAGTTTATTATATGAGTCGGAAACTATCGGCATTCTTTTTTGCAAGCATAAGCTATACTGTCAATATGATCATGCATGTTTCCTTAAACATTTACACAGATGTGTACAGTGCTATTATGATATATGTTTTAATTGATCTGTTATGCAATTAAAATGTCTCACTGTGTTTCACTGTGCTTTTTTGTGTATGTTGAATGCTTATGAGTTCCCCTTGCCTTTTTCCCTCAATTTCTAAATTATCTTCCAAATTTTAGAATGAATGAATGAATGAATGAATGAAAGCAAGAATTACATGTGAATGAATGGAAGAAATAAAGAAAAAGAACAAAAGAAAGAAATACATATGTGAATGAATGAAACAATAAATGACCCCGACCACCCCTCCCAAAAGATTTAAAAGAACACAAAACTATTGCTAGAACACGTGTTAACATCAGCTGTCAATTTTTTTTCTTTTAAAAATCTACTTTGAGACGTTTTTTACATCAGTAATTTAGCGTTCAGATACCTTCCTGCATGTGTGGAATGGCATGGACATTGACAGAATGTTAACTGACACTGTCACACACCCCTCAAATACAGAAAGTTTAAAACTATCACAAAGCATTGTAAAGACCTTTCCAGTTTTGTTAAATACTAAGATGTTTTAGAACTATACCACTCAAGCATCACAGGCATCAATGGCGGATCAGAACAGATCGGCGATGTGTCATATTTTTCACACACATCAAATACACTCTGACACTTTTTCCAAAATTATAAAGCTATCAGTATTACTCGCAAATACCTTTCAACTGAAGGTATATTTCCCTCATGAAAATTAAAGGTATATGTGAAAGAAGTTTTGTATAATAATAACTAGAAACACTCAAACATCGCCCTGTAGTATTTCAATGGCGGATCAGATCAGATCGGCGATATGTCATATTTTTCCCAAACCTCTACACCCTAACAAATTTGTTCAAATTATGAAACTATCACTATTACTTGCAAACACCTTTCACCTGATGGTATATTTCTCTCATAAAAATTAAAGACAGATGTGAAAGAAGTTTTTAGAAAAATAACTAGAAACACTCAAACGTCGCCCAGTAGTTTTTCAATGGCGGATCAGATCAGCGATGTGTCATATTTTTCACACACCTCAAATACACCCTATCAAATTTTTTTTTCAATTATAAAACTATCACTATTACTTGCAAACACCTTTCAACTAAAGGTATATTTCCCTTCTAACAATTAAACGAATATGTGAAAGAAGTTTTTATCGATAAAATTTAGTCTTTCTTCGCTGTGTACCGAGAATGGAAGCCAGTGAGCTACATGCCGACTTGAAACTTTACAACAAATCTACTGTACTAATACTGACACTAATAACAATTATTTGACTTAAAATGAAGTGACAGAATAGGTGACTTTCCTTCTACATGTAGGTTTTCAGTTGTCACAACACTCAGCGAATGTAATCAGCTCTTTAAATAATCAGGCTCAATCATAAAATTAAGCTGCCGCCATATTGGCTAAACTGGTCACATGACGAGTCAAGGCATACCCTAAGAGTCTTGTCAAAGAGAGACCACTCCCTGTCTTGTATTCTCCCTGGTTTAGTTAATTGTTATGGATATGAAAGGTCTGCCTCAATGCTTAAGTAAAAAGGTTTTCCTCAATTCAACCTGTTGTATGTATTGTAATTTAGCGAACCCGTGTTAGGGTTAGGTTTGGTTTTCGGTAGCCCATGCTTGTCGTAGAGGCGACTAATGGGATCGGGTGGTCAGGCTCACTGGCTTGGTTGATACATGTCATTGGTTCCCAATTGCATGGATCAATGCTTATGCTGTTGATTACTGGATTGTCGGGTCCAGACTGTTGTTTTCAGACCGCTGCCATACAGCTGGAATATTGCTGAGTGTGGCGTAAAACTAAACTCATTCACTCACTTATGTATTTGCAGTATGTTTTGCACAATTTATTTTCATGGTATGCACTGCGCAATCTTCTGTGTCGCATCTCACTGGAAGATCCTGGATTTAGGTTTCAGTTTGTCATGGATCGCACACGCGATGTTTTTGAGTAATTTGGTTTTAAGGCATTGCATGCCAAACTCCAGTTCCCCATGGTGTAAGTACACACTCAAGATGTTTGATAATGTTTTGCAGTACATTGTAACCCATATTTCTATCATTTAATGTAAATTTGGTTCGAATTTCTATCAGACTCTTTTCAGAGTTCATGCCATGTGCTTTTTAAACTGAATGAAGCATTCATAAAATCTCTTTCTGCTAACTTCGGCTAGGAAAACGTGTGTATTTTGGCTCATGTGTTTAGAACTTTAGATTGAAATATGTTTTGGCAATATAAGTAATTATCTGTTTTCTTATTGTAGCAATTTACCACACGATTGAGGTTGATTGATACTCTCTCAGCACGGAATAAAAAGCTTACAGCACACAACCCATACAAATCTACTGCAGCTGGAGTCATGATAATCCCAATCTACAAAATTGCAATAAGTGACTGGGTGAAAGATAAAGTCACCAGAAACATGTACCCCAATTTTTAATGTAAAAGTATTATTATTATACTTTCTGCTGTCTCAGCTTTGGCCATTATGCATATTCCGCATGCAAGTTTGTGAACTCCATGATTTTTTACATTTGTGACATCACATATGTCGTTTTTGTAATTGGTAAGCTGGGGTAATGCATTGCCTGGGGTTGCACAGACTCTATACATGTGACGTCACGTGAAGTCACGTGAGTCATGTGAGCTCACGAACTTGCAAGCAGAATATGCATAATTTTTCTTCTAAATCAAAGGTCTAGAGTAGCGGTTATGTTGATCAAAAACTGCTGCCAAAACTATTTTGGTATTAACATCTATATTTCATGATCCCCTACTATTTTTTGAGAGTATATAGTGAGCCCCAATGCTAACTACACTTGTACCAAATTTCCAAACAATAGACGTTTGCTGTACAGCCTCTTGAACAAATTGGAATTGGAAAAAGTGCATGAAATCAAGTTAGATGGATGACTGACAGTTGAGTGAGCTAAAATTTGTAATCTGTTATATGGGCGACTTTCTGAAAGGGCCCTGTAATTACTTAAGAACTACACACATACATACATACCCTTTGGTAGATGCTGGTATTTGCTGACTACGTCTGTGTTGAAGGCAGACACAATATCTTCTATGATGTCTCTTTCATCATCATGTTGAAGACTGAAGGTGTACCTTGTCAACAGTGGAACATTGGTGACAGACCAAAGTATGTCGCGATCTCTGTAGAAGCTGTGGTCAAATTCCTGGAACAATAACTGTTCAGCTGATAAACCTGTTTTACAACTGTAAACCATTACATGCAATAATATCTCACAGGTTTTACAGCTTTAAGTGCCATCCACCACAGATGGCTATTTTATAGTGTCAGCATGTTCCAGGTTTTGACGTTGTTGGGTGAAGAAATGAACTGTCCATGCCAAACTAAAATGTCCACAGGTATCTTCAACTTTTCTTGAAATAATATCTACTTTTAACTATCTACCCTCCAAAGGGTTGAAGGCCACTTACTCCAGATCGGAAATGCTCCACGTTCATCATATCTTGTGAGAATTACATTGTCTGGGATCAGACCCAACTGATTTTGGTGAGCAGTTTGTAACCAGCGATGAATCTTGGCTTCACCACTGTATGCAAGTCATTAACAGTCGTCAAAGCAGTAGAAACATCTTATGTCTAAAGGCGGGCAAGGTGATGGCTTTGATTTTCTGAGATTTGAATGAGATTCCCTTAAGGTCAAAAGATTATTGGCTAATATTATGATGATCTGCTTTTGGCAACTACATGTACTTGAGAATATCAAGTGGAACATTGTGGAACACACAGTCTCAGTGTATGGTGTCTCAGGACACTAGTGGACAGGATTGTTGTCAGCATGACTGTCAATGTCAACTGTTTCTTTGGACTCAGTGACATCCCAAGACTTTGGAAGATCAGCAGGAAACACTATCAAAGGAACAGAGGAGGGACATATACATACACAACAGTTAACGCTAAGAAATTCATTAAATTGCAATACTGGAATCCTCCCCCTCTAATCCCTCTTCAGGTAGAAAAGGCTACATCTCATGGAGATAGAATAGAATAGAATAGGTAAGTAATAAATATGGGAACTCCACTGACAACATCAAAGACTCAAATATGTGGATTTTCCTTCTTGATCAGTCAAGGGCAGTCTGAAGCCATGGAATAATGCATTCCTAGATTCATGATTTAACTATTCGTGGAGAAACATAAAAGACTTCGTGTACAAGATATCTTATCTCAATCATGTTGTAACTTTTATATCTTTTATTGATATCATGAATAATTAATACATGACCTGAGACAAATCAGGTTACTCTCTTTAACAGATGCAAATTCTCTGCTTTATATCAATATAGAGGAATAAATGCCTTCAGTTGTTTCATTGTTTTAATTGAATACCTTTACCACTGTGTGCAGGGTATTCCTCTGCCATGACTCAATCCAGCTGCTAGTGTGGCTGGGAAAATCCCTATCGTGTGGGTGAAAAAGGATGCTGAAAGTGTCTAGGTCTAGTACATCCAGGGTCTAGTGCTACCAGTATATACAAAGTTGAAGGTGTCTAGGTCTAGTACCTCCAGGGTCTAGTGCTACCAGTATATACAAAGTTGAAGGTGTCTAGGTCTAGTACCTCCAGGGTCTAGTGCTACCAGTATATACAAAGTTGAAGGTGTCTAGGTCTAGTACCTCCAGGTCTAGGTGCTACTAGTGCTACCAGTATATACAAAGTTGAAGGTGTCTAGGTCTAGTACCTCCAGGGTCTAGTGCTACCAGTATATACAAAGTTGAAGGTGTCTAGGTCTAGTACCTCCAGGGTCTAGTGCTACCAGTATATACAAAGTTGAAGGTGTCTAGGTCTAGTACCTCCAGGGTCTAGTGCTACCAGTATATACAAAGTTGAAGGTGTCTAGGTCTAGTACCTCCAGGGTCTAGTGCTACCAGTATATACAAAGTACCATATTGAAGGTGTCTAGGGTCTAGTACCTCCAGGTTCTAGTGCTACCAGTATATACAAAGTTGAAGGTGTCTAGGTCTAGTACATCCAGGGTCTAGTGCTACCTACACAGTTGAAGGTGTCTAGGTCTAGTGGTCTAGTGCTACCAGTATATACAAAGTTGAAGGTGTCTAGGTCTAGTACCTCCAGGTTCTAGTGCTACCAGTATATACAAAGTTGAAAGTGTCTAGGTCTAGTAGGGTCTAGTGCTACCCAAAGTTGGTGTCTAGGTCTAGTACTCCAGGTTCTAGTGCTACCAGTATATACAAAGTTGAAGGTGTCTAGGTCTAGTACCTCCAGGTTCTAGTGCTACCAGTATATACAAAGTTGAAAGTGTCTAGGTCTAGTACCTCCAGGGTCTAGTGCTACCAGTATATACAAAGTTGAAAGTGTCTAGGTCTAGTACCTCCAGGGTCTAGTGCTACCAGTATATACAAAGTTGAAGGTGTCTAGGTCTAGTCTCCAGGGTCTAGTGCTACCAGTATATACAAAGTTGAAGGTGTCTAGGTCTAGTACCTCCAGGGTCTAGTGCTACCAGTATATACAAAGTTGAAGGTGTCTAGGTCTAGTACCTCCAGGGTCTAGTGCTACCAGTATATACAAAGTTGAAGGTGTCTCCAGGTCTAGTCTCCAGGGTCTAGTGCTACCAGTATATACAAAGTTGAAAGTGTCTGGGTCTAGTACCTCCAGGGTCTAGTGCTACCAGTATATACAAAGTTGAAAGTGTCTAGGTCTAGTACCTCCAGGGTCTAGTGTACCAGTATATACAAAGTTGAAGGTGTCTAGTACCTCAGGTCTGGTACATCCAGGGTCTAGTGCTACCAGTATATACAAAGTCGAAGGTGTCTAGGTCTAGTACCTCCAGGGTCTAGTGCTACCAGTATATACAAAGTTGAAGGTGTCTAGGTCTAGTACCTCCAGGTCCTAGTGCTACCAGTATATACAAAGTTGAAAGTGTCTAGGTCTAGTACCTCCAGGGTCTAGTGCTACCAGTATATACAAAGTTGAAGGTGTCTAGGTCTAGTACCTCCAGGTTCTAGTGCTACCAGTATATACAAAGTTGAAGGTGTCTAGGTCTAGTACCTCCAGGTTCTAGTGCTACCAGTATATACAAAGTTGAATGTCTCTAGGTCTAGTACCTCCAGGTTCTAGGTCCAGGTTGACAGTCCTGTTCTACATCAGACTGATTGCTGGGGAAATTATACAAAGCTTTTGGATGTGCACAGAGAACAATCTTGTTTAATTATCCTGCTCAACTTTTGATAGGGATAATCAGACCTTTCATTCTGTCAAATATACTTGACATTTGATGAGAATCAGGGTTATAGACATATTTCTATCAAAAGTGATGTCGTATATCAACAGATAAAGCTCTGTCACATCGTTATGTTATTGAATGTGGATATAAAATATACAAAACACAAACCTTCAAAGCACATGCCATCCTTGCCATAAGAACTCCATCTTGTATTAATAACTGATGGGTGTAGGGAACCTTCTGAATTATTTGCCCAGGTACAAATGTACGAAGATCAATCAGATGTTTGGGGAGTTCACCTGAACATATAAACGCAAGTATTAATCTCCAAAACAATTAAATAGAATCTCAGTCTCACTCACCTCATTCACTCTGGTGTCTATAAATTGATCTCTACTGAGTTCAGTTAGTTAAATCAAGCTCTGCTGTGTCAGCGTTTTCTTTGACCTACTAAAGATGAGGTCCATAATAACTGATTTGGTTGATCAGTCAAGCTCTGCTGTGTCAGCGTTTTCTTTGACCTACTAAAGAAGAGGCCCATAATAACTTATTTGGTTGATCAGTCAAGCTCTGCTGTGTCAGCGTTTTCTTTGACCTACTAAAGAAGAGGCCCATAATAACTTATTTGGTTGATCAGTCAAGCTCTGCTGTGTCAGCGTTTTCTTTGACCTACTAAAGATGAGTCCCATAATAATTGATTTGGTTGATCAGTCAAGCTCTGCTGTGTCAGCATTTTCTTTGACCTACTAAAGATGAGGTCCATCTCATACAAAGACAGAAATAGTTTTGATCATTGTCCATAATATTATCTATCAATTGGCATATTTTGACACTCTTCTGACATGTATTCTCCCATTAATTGCTTCAAGTAATCTTGACTACTGCAGCCAAACAAGTGAAAAGAAACCTGTTAGATACCTGGTGTCATAACACAAGAGGGCTTCGTTACTCACAACTTGACTGCTTGTTGTACATGATACAGGTGTAATGTCACGGTTAGATACCTGGTGTCATAACACAAGAGGGCTTCGGTACTCACAACTTGACTGCTTGTTGTACATGATACAGGTGTAATGTCACGGGTAGATACCTGGTGTCATAACACAAGAGGGCTTCGGTACTCACAACTTGACTGCTTGTTGTACATGATACAGGTGTAATGTCACGGTTAGATACCTGGTGTCATAACACAAGAGGGCTTCGGTACTCACAACTTGACTGCTTGTTGTACATGATACAGGTGTAATGTCACGGTTAGATACCTGGTGTCATAACATAAGAGGGCTTCGGTACTCACAACTTGACTGCTTGTTGTACATGATACAGGTGTAATGTCACGGTGCCTCACACCACTGACATCTTGTGTAACGTGCTGGGAGCATTCATTAAGCTTATTATGGCTGATGAGGGAGTGGCTCATTATTTGTAAAGTTTTGGGGTGGTGGTGGTTTGCGCATCCCTGCAACCTCACTCTGGATCTGCCCCTGTGCAACTTGCATGCAGTATCCACATTGGACATCACTGTGGCTGATGTTGACCAACGTTTTTCAGAATCAGGTGTGATGCGTACAGGAGTTCCTGGTTGCAGAGGATGACCTCCATGGTTAAGTGGTTAGAGCATCCGCTCAGAGAGTGGAAGGTCACGGGTTCGATCCCGGTCTGCGTCATACCAAAAGACGTTAAAATATTTGGTCCCTGCCTGGCACTCGGCATTAATGGGTACAACAAGGACTGGTTGGCTCGGAGTCAGTATGTGTCTGAGTGAGGTATTCATGCTTAATTGCGGCATGGTATCTCAGTGGGCTAGCACTATAAAACTAGCTTAAGTCTGGGCTAGTACATGCAGCCACTCATACACACGCATGCACGTTGTCATATGAGTGAAATATTCTTAAGCGCGACGTTAAGCCCCATTTCACCTCACCTGGCTGCAGAAATGGAAGTTCTATCGGAATGTCTCCTGTTGTAGTAAGTAGCACATGACCTTTTGACTTTATCATCATAAACTTGTTTCACATCAGGCCATTGAGGAGCAAGGTTTGTCCGTATTTGTCTTCCCATCAAAGTTGTTGCCTCAGCAGGTGTTGACTGATATGACAGTAAGGCCACAAATGGGTCGGCTTGCTGAAGAATATGTTTTGCAATTCGCACACCACTTTCTGCTTTTCCATTTGCTTAAGGATAATGTGGACTGGTAGTGGTGACGGAAAAGTTGTATTCCTTACCAAATGATTGAAATTCTTGGGAGGTGAACTGAATCTCATTATCTGACACAAACTCCTTTGGTACACCCCAGCGTGGCCTTCGGCTTCCCAATCACTGGTTGGCAAGTACTATTAGTCAGATGAGCTATCTCCAGATAGCAGGAATAATATTAATAATCTGTTACAACAAGGATATATTCCCCTTTCACATAACCAAGATGAGCAGCAACTTTCTGGCAGGGCCTGTCTGATAAGCTGATTGTCTTGAGGGGTTCTTTCCTCTGTGATGGTATGTTAATAATGCAGTGTTCACACTGGGAAACCTTGGCTCTTATGTCAGTAGCTGCTCTCTTTTTAGGCATTTATTAATGCCCTGGTGCCCTGGTGGATCTGATCCACAATCTCCGCTCTCAGCTATGCTGGCACTACAATGCGATCTCTGAAGATCAAGAGATGATCATCAACTGAGAGTTCACCACATCTTTGCTCAGAGGCGCTTAGGCAAAGAGTTTTCAAGACACGCTTGACTAGTTCAAGTCTTCGATGTTCTGAATGTTTGGTGGCAAGTTATTCCAAAGACACGATCCTGCTTTAGAAAAAGCTTCTTTTTTCTCATCAGTGGAATGTCTGGCACTCACAAGGAGTTGGGTCTCAGTGCTCTTCTGGTGTTGTAAACTAAGATCAAGTTAGATGGTTGAGAAAGTTGAACACAAAGATGATAGTCTTCAACATGATTCTGTATCTGATGGGGAGCCAGTGGAGAGTCTTAAGTACTGGAGTGATGTGTTCTGTGCGTTTGGTCCCAGTAATGAGGCGAGCAGCACAGTTCTGGACTCTCTGCAATTTGTCTTTTTCCTCGCTGATGATCCGTAAAGGAGACTATTGCAATAGGCTAAGTAGTCTTAACTGCTTTCTCACCAATGTACCTTTTGATGAGGCTGATGTTGCTTATATGACAGTAGGCCATCCTGCATACAGCATCAGTGTGATGCTCAACAGCCAGAGAGAACTCGAAAATAACTCCAATGTCTTTATCTCGTTGACACATGCAGTTATGTCACAGAATTCCATATAGATCTGAAAGTCCAAATGCAATCTAAGGTTGTAATTCCTGACTATGTCGTTGACAGGTAAATTGTACAGGAAAAACAGTATGGGGCCCAAAACAGAACCTTGCAGTACCCCATAAAGAAGCTCCTTCTCTTTTGACTGTTTACCTTTAATGATAACTGACTGACATCGGTTGCTAAGATATGATTTGAACCAGGACAAAACCTGGCCACTAAGTCCAACTCAGACTTCCAGCAATGACAAACAGGATGGAATGGTCTGTTGTGTCGAATGCTGCTGACAGGTCCAACGTTACCAGTGTAACCATGCCATCAGCCATGAGCGGATCATTCAGAACTCTCAGAAGGGTGGATGCTGTACTGTAGGCAGATTGCATGGTCTCCTGCAGCTGTGCCTTCACAAGATAGTCTCGAAGACATGATGCAACTACTCGCTCAATAAGCGTAGAGAGTAAAGTCAAGTTGGAAACAGGTCTGTAGTTCTTCAGGCAGTCAGAATCTAGATTTGGCTTTTTGAGGATTGGAGTGATAAGAGCTTCCTTGAGAGATAAAGGAACTTCACAGCAGTTCAGTGAGAGGTTTAACACTTTGGTCAAAACAGGAATAGTCACATCTGCCCCTAATTTTAACAACCATGTTGGCAAGGGGTCTAACGACTTTGTTGGAGAAAGTATTTGTGATATTTCTATACAGGTAGTCAGCTGAAATACAGCAAGTGAAGTGTGACAGGATGGTTGTTGATTGAGAAGACTATTGTCCTGGTTTAACGTTGATTGGAAATCCTCCAGTCTGGATCGTATAGACAATATTTTGTCATTGGAAAAGGACACACATGATTCAGTCAGTTTCTCAGAAGACTGATGAGGTGGAAGTTTGCTGTTCTTTCTTCTAAATAATAGTTCATTGCAGACCTTTGGAGTCTTGGCATCAGTTAAGATGTTTTATAGGATTGTTTGGCTTCGTCTACAAGCTTGTTGACTAGGTTGTACTGGGCAGAATGAATGTCACGATCTGTTGTGAGACCAGATTTCCTCATCTTCTTTTCAAGCTTCCGGCTCTGTTTCTTTGAGTCTCATAATTTCGGTGCAATGTTGTCGAGATTTGGCATCATGAATCTCTTATGCTCCACTGCCTCATTGAGCTTTTTAAGATCCACACCGATTCGAACCTGGCCAGACTTCTTCAGTACTGGCACCATGGGAGCGCACCACTCAGATGAATCTCTTACCTCTCGAATAATTCCTGCATCTTGCATGCGAAACAGTTCCTGTTTGACTGTTTCCATCAGTGGAAAGGGTATTCTGCATGCTGTCGCTATAATATATGGTTGGGCATTCTTTTTCAAACTTTTCCATGGTTTGGCTCCCTCCTACTTGTCTGAACTCCTACATCCATATGTCCCCGCACGCAACTTGAGCTCAAATACACAAAATCTACTGGTCACCCCATCCTACAAACTGATTTTTTTTGGAAAATGACCATTCTCTTACTCTGCACCTGTGCTTTAGAACTCTCTCCCATGTGCCTTTAAAAGCTCTGACACAATTGACATTTTTAAGTCCAGACTTAAAACCCACCTTTTCTCAGTATATTACTTATAATTTCAGCTGTAAATACTCCAGTGTAAATAATCTGTAGCGCTTTGAGCATGCCTCAGGGTGTGGAAGGGGCACATTAGAGGTAGGCATTTATTATTATTATTATTAATTCTAACTGGCTCAGTCTTGAGCAAAACCGACTGATCCAAACACCTCAGACATGATTTCATCTATGTGTGGCACCACCAGTCCCATCTTGAGTGACACATCTCTACTCAGCAGCTTGTTATGGCCATTGCTCACACTAACCTTATAAATGCAAGCATCCATAAAAGATGGTTGACTTTCTCCAGTGCCTTGGTTTTCACCATTGCTCATTTCAGTATAAGGGAACTTGATAAGACTAAAGAACCTGTTGATGAATGGGATTTGAGAAAAGGGTGATTTGTGGTTGGTGTAAGCTGTGAACTTAATATGCAGCAACAGTAACTTGCCATCTGTCTTGGTGCAATATAATGGAATAAAATGGAAGTAGTTGTGCAAAGTATTGATACTTGGTTGTTGGCAAATCTTGGCTGTTAGGTGACATCAGCTGATCGGAGGTTTGGGAGCAGACAATAGATCTCCTGCCCCAGGAAGGAGTAGTTACCATAGGTCTGAATAGTCTGACAAGAGAAACATGAGAGCCGTGACCTCACTGCTTGTTGTTGTTGCTGCAATGTATATATAGTATAGAAGAGATAGCGGTATTGGATGTAGTGACTGACACAGAAATGGAGGCCTGCATGGACCCAACTACAGCAGAGATGGTGTGTTAAGTCATATCAACAGCATGGGTGGATGACAACTGGTCTATGTGTTTTCAACCCCAACACCTTGCAACACTGCCATATCCTTCCTGGCGGAGTTGAAGACAAGAAAAGGTTTACTCGATAGCCCAGGGGCCAACAAGTTCTGCCATAAATGTTTATGGTAAATGGCTACCCTGACGTACTTGCCTTCTTGAGTTAATACTCAACATGGAGACGTTTATGATGAAGATTTAACATATTTCAATGACAAAAGATGAGTGAGACACATTGGCATTGGAAGTACATAGATCTTTGCTTGAGAGAGTATACATCAAGGATAGTCCACCACAGGCAGGTTGGAGAAGTATCTATGTTCCTGTATGGTGAATGCTCAAATAAGAACAACAGTATTAAAACCTACGGTTACTTTTATACAAGTGTTAAACAAAATGAATTTGCCAGAAAAGAATTGATTTATTTTTCAGGTGATGGGCTTGCACACGCAAGAAAGAAATCATAATGTACGGTTTGCCAAACAACTGTAGTGATGGCTGACAATGAGGGGTGACATCTCTTGAAATCCAACCACTTTTAAGTGCACCGGAAGTGAAATTACAGGATTATTTACTACGATGTAATAAAGGTAGGGCATTCAAAGGTATAATAAAGCTACACTATATACTGCCACACAACAATTATATGCCAGAAATGTTTACGCATATATAGTTTCAAAAATGAAACTGCACATGGTGTTCATTGAAAGTAGGTCACTGTGACATACTTCTGCTGTAGTAAGTACCACCTTTCATACATAAGTATTCAAAGAATATTACCAGTATGTGCATAAATAGACATCAAGTTACAAAAAGACATGAACTATTCATTCAGTTGAAATGAAAATGGAAGTTTTTGTATGCACAAGAACATTACCTTGTACATTTGTTTGGGAAGACATGATCTCCAGTGACTGTTCCTCTCCATTTATATTTGGTATTATCATCTGGGTTTGAATGCTATTCTTTAACAGACATTTCATGAATGCATGTTGTGCTTCTGGAATAGAAACATGAGAATAAAATCATTTGGCTGCATACTTAATTAGCTGTGGACAATATACACCCAATGCTGGACAACAATAAATTCACTAGTCATTAATGCAAACTTGCATGGATCAGTATTTGATAGTCAACTTTTATTATTATATTCTATTTATGTAATTTCTTCAACTATACAATCTGGAATACTCATTCAGGAAACTTCAACAGGTAAACTTCATAAATCTTTTCCAAAACCAAATTTCAGCCATCAATATTTTGACTTGTTACTAAATGTCTACTGGACAGTTATATGACCACTTACCATGAATACCAATACCATGTGTCAATTTCCAAGCTGAAACTCTGTCACCTGATCATGATCTACCTAAAACCCTTTTACAATGTTTAAACGCAATGCTATCTAGACATATTGGAGTATATTGTCATGTCAGGATCAATGCAAATGGGTGGAAACAATGTTGAAGCACAATGCTATCTAGACATATTGGAGTATATCGTCATGTCAGGATCAACGCATATGGGTGGAAACAATGTTGAAGCACAATGCTATCTAGACATATTGGAGTATATCGTCATGTCAGGATCAACGCATATGGGTGGAAACAATGTTGAAACACAATGCTATCTAGACATATTGGAGTATATCGTCATGTCAGGATCAACGCATATGGGTGGAAACAATGTTGAAACACAATGCTATCTGGACATATTGGAGTATATCGTCATGTCAGGATCAATGCATATGGGTGGAAACAATGTTGAAACACAATGCTATCTAGACATATCGGAGTATATTGTCATGTCAGGATCAACGCATATGGGTGGAAACAATGTTGAAGCACAATGCTATCTAGACATATTGGAGTATATCGTCATGTCAGGATCAACGCATATGGGTGGAAACAATGTTGAAACACAAAGCTATCTGGACATATTGGAGTATATCGTCATGTCAAGATCAATGCAAATGGGTGGAAACAATGACCGATATATAAAAACTAACAAAGAACAATGAAATTGAGCATTTCAATGCTTGTAACTTAGTTCCAGTGTGAATTCTTTTAATCCTACAGTACATGCAAAACACTGTCCATCCATGAGGTGGAAATGACAGTAGGCATGGTTTATACTCTCAGAAACAAGTTTCACTACCCTTTGCGCCAAATGACTCATAAGCCACCAAAAATAATGATGTACCAGCTTCTTCTCAGTGATGTTGGTTAATGCTTCAAGTATATAACTGTTGATAAATACAAACATGATGGGACGTAAATAATTAACAATTGTGGTAGTTGACCCAGGACTAGGTCTTTCATCATTTAGTCACGAGAACGTATTGTGGTAGATAGACTGTCCCTCTCCATTGGTGTAGAGTATTTGCTCTGACAGTAATCAAGTTACTGGAGATCCACACACTATATACCAGCCCCGCAAACACAGTGAGTGATAAGAAACATGTGGTTGGATGGACTGACAACTTCTCATGACAAATTTTCACCTGAACTTTCAGAGAACGTGAACCTCTGATAATAAAGTACTGGGAATAATAATCCTACCATCATATACTGGCCTTACAGTTTATTCTGTTACTATAGGTTTCATTCAGCTTTTACATTTCTGACAGACTGAATAGAACTGCATATTGTCATTAGTCATGGAGAATAACACACCCCTGATTGAGCTGCAGGAGATGCTGATGTCAGCTATTGTCATTAGTCATTGAGAATAACACACCCCTGATTGAGCTGCAGGAGATGCTGATGTCAGCTATTATCATTAGTCATTGAGAATAACACACCCCTGATTGAGCTGCAGGAGATGCTGATGTCAGCTATTGTCATTAGTCATTGAGAATAACACACCCCTGATTGAGCTGCAGGAGATGCTGATGTCAGCTGCTCCACTGTGTAGCAACACAACGGGGTGACATTGAAGGACTGACAAGTAGCATCCTCCTGTGGAGCAAGGATTTCACTTAGTCAGTATTGAAACTATCATAAGGTGACATTTTATACAACATACCCAGGCCTTGAGGATTCATTGAATCTTTGCTGTTAATGACTTTTAGGAGGTAACCCCCTGGCTGCAGCTGTTGGATGAATGGATTAGAATGCTGGTCCTCAACCCTCACATAGTAGTTTCTGTCATCATAGCTAGGGAGCTCCTTTACAACTGTCACTGTCAGTCCATACATTTTGTGGATAATGTCTTTGACCATTCCCTCCAAGACCACCGGGCGTATAACTTCACCAGGCTGTTGGACAGTTGAGGGAGTGCATTTGTTACCATTAGTATCAGAAGTTCCATTTCCACTGTCCATTTTCTAAACCTTGAAATTACAATCACTGAAACAGAAGTTAGAGTGAAGTAAGTCACATTTTTTTCTTAATCTTTCAAATCTGACATGCTTAATCTGGACATATAGGCAAACCTGAAAATAATATTGAAAATATCAAATACTACATCATTATAGTCTCCAAGCATGTTACATGATTTCTTATTACATTAATTAGTGTAACATGTAAAGTAATCATATCACTTCCTTCTTACATTTATCAATGTATGTATCATATGTATCTGTCTTCCTGATCGCATTTTATCATTACAGTGGAAGGTCTCAAAACCGGCAGCCCTCCAACAGAAGCAGAAGCTAGTTGGAATGAAGATGAAGATTACATTTCTGCTGCTTGCTGGTCATGCTTTGTATTGAAAATTTAATTGGAATGTTGTGAACATTTTCCAGAGATGCCATTGATGAGATTAATATACAGACACTTAAGCTTCGATGGCTTTGTGACTTCAAATGTCCAAAATATGGCATCACCTTATTCCTGTTAAGTTCAAAGTATGTCTGTATGGTTTAAACATATTTTTATTTCAAAAGAAATCTGGATCGGTAAAAAAAGCAAAACTTGCTTATGTAATACCTCTCCAGGTAATGAGTTGACACAGCTGGTAATACATTTCAGAAGATAGTGATAAACATATATAATGTACAATTGCACAAACAGAATACATAAAGCCAGTATTTTGAAGTCAGTGGTGTCTGTGGAAAAATATGATAAAGCAGTTATCCTTTCTACATGAATTTAAAATTGCTCAAATCTTTTGCTTTTTAACAATAATGTCATGAACTGAATAAGGTGAGGTCAGGTGAAATTGGGTTTATCGTCGTGCTTGAGAATATTTCGCTCTTATGACGATGTGCATGCGTGTGTATGTGTATGTGCGGCTGCTTGTACTAGCCCAGACTGAAGCTGGTTTTATAGTGCTAGCCCACTGAGATACCATGCCGCAGTGAAGCATGAATACCCCACTCAGACACATTATACTGACTCTGAGCCGACCAGTCCTTGTTGTACTCATTAATGCCGAGCGCCAGGCAGGGACCAACAAATACCATATTTTAACGTCTTTTAATATGACACGGCCAGGGATCGAACCCGCGACCTTCCGCTCTCCGGGCGGACGCTCTAACCACTACACCACGGAGGCGGTCCACTGAATAAGGGATATCCATGTTTGTGTGACTGCTGACTGAACTATGGCCATAAAGTATTGATGTCAGGTCATACCCATGTATGTAAGAGTACATAGTCTTTCTGATATTATCTTACTTGTGGCAGGTAAAGAACAAGTGAGTTGTATCCTCAAATTGATACCCACATGTGCAGTCTGGGGTTTCTGATACATGGCGCCTAAACTTATCAGCATTTAAGTCGCTACAGCCGTGTCAAAGGCGACAGTGGACAATTTGACAGAATCTAGAACCATAATTCAAGTCCAGGTTATTCATAACATTATCAAAAGATTGATTGATTATTTAAATTCTTATAATGAGTCCTTAAAACTTCAAAGTACATTTCAACTTACTAAAATTTTTATATGTAGCATTTGTGTGATTTTAAATTATGGCTTAACTTTCCTACAATCGCCAGCGGCTGAAAGGATATTATAAATCCAGCTTGGGTCCCTGTATTGTCCTAATTTGAAATCCAATTTTAGAGAGAGATGCTAGTTTTATTTCTTGATACTATGATATTCTAGTTGGTTTTACTGTCCTTCGATGACAGGCTTTTAATAATTTACATGTATTTATGGTGAATTCTCAACTTGTTTTAGTCACGATATGGCTGAAATACTGCCGATGTGACTGTAAATCTTAACTCACTCACTCACCTTATAATGAGTGTGCATTAGTTACTTCATCAGGTTGATTATTCCACAAATTGATCGTGTCTGGAAGACATGACTTTGCATAAAGCTTGGTTCCACATTTGATTGTCTATAAGTTTGTTCTATTTCTAAGACCATAATTGTTATTTTCATCATACTTGAGATGGTATATGTTTATTGAGATATTCAGGTGAAATACCATTTCTCATTTTTTAAATGTAAACAATTTGAAGCAATGTATTCGTTCTTTTAGATGTTGAAAACTTGTTTCGTTATATATCTTGGCATGGCTAATACCACAAACTGCCCGACAAATAAAGAATGTTGACACTTTTTATGGATATACAACTTCTTTTATTCTGTGAAAGGCGACGTACCGACATAGATTCTAATGTTGTTGTCAAGCAAGTGATACATGAGAAACAAACTGAGAGAATATATACATGAGTTGTTATTGCAATAAATTGGGGATGAGTTGTATACACTGTATACAGTAAATGAGGTTGATGTACAACGGTTGTATAGGAGATTGAGTAAGTTGATTGGAAGCCAGTAGGTGATGTACAGGGATAGAATTAGAGCTATACACAAATGATAGGAAGCCAGGAAGCTATATGCAACATGCCATACAAGCTTTGTACATCAACCCCATCTATTGTATAAACACCTGGATTCCTATCATTTGTATAGCTTTAATTCTTATCCCTGTATGGGAATGTCTGTTACGATGGTGACCACCATTTGTATGGTTTTTGTATGTCATAAATGGGACATATTGATTAATAAAAATAATGTCTGTTTTCAATACAGTTAAATGTTTTTTCAGCATTAGGAATGCCTGTATATGACTAAAGGGAGTTGTGGATCAACAATAGGAATGTCTACATATCAGTAAAGGGACATGATTAATGTAGGAATGTCTGTATATTATCAAGGGATATGATGATCAACATTTGTGGTGTTTGTACATCATTAAAAGACCATGTAATGTAAATTTAGGTGTGTATGTATATCATTTAAGGGACATATGGATTAACATGAAGATTTGCGGTCTGTTACGTGATATTACATTTGTGATAGCTTGTGTCAATACTGTTCCTCTGGACTTCAGACATATTTCACACCCAACGTTTGATCATGATTTCTCTCTATAAATGTTCTTTCCCCCTTGACATGTGTCCTTTTCAAACCAGAGGTAGTAACAGCTTTGTTATCATACATTTCCAACACTTTATAAACAAACATTTCAATGCTTAGAATTACAGACCAAATTATGTATATATGTCTCTTAGTACCTTAGTGTACATAGCTACGTTAGCTGAAACCCATCAGTGGTCAAGAAGGAGTAGCCGCTTAGCACTTCATGCCAATAGCTGATTGGTCATCTGCTCCAGGTACACACATCTTAAATACAGTGGTCATAGAGCAAACAGACTTACCTCTGAGGTTGTATGGTGATGATACTGAATCACATTCACACGAGAGAGAACCTGACAGGATACATTGTGACCTTTACATACGCTCCACTGTTGTATGGTTGACATTTGTAGCACACAAGTAGCCACTTCAAGCAACTTACTATAGTTAGGAATGTCAGTGTTTGCTATTAGAATTATCCTGTCATGTTAGAATGTTTAGAGAGCACATCACTCCAAATTTCCTTTGCCAGATATGTCAGTGTTCCCTATAGGTGACACAGTGTTATCTGAACCCTACTGCCAGATATGTCAGTGTTCCCTACAGGTGACACAGTGTTATCTGAACCCTACTGCCAGCTATGTCAGTGTTCCCTACAGGTGACACAGTGTTATCTGAACCCTACTGCCAGCTATGTCAGTGTTCCCTACAGGTGACACAGTGTTATCTGAACCCTACTGCCAGCTATGTCAGTGTTCCCTACAGGTGACACAGTGTTATCTGAACCCTACTGCCAGCTATGTCAGTGTTCCCTACAGGTGACACAGTGTTATCTGAACCCTACTGCCAGCTATGTCAGTGTTCCCTACAGGTGACAGTGTTATCTGAACCCTACTGCCAGCTATGTCAGTGTTCCCTACAGGTGACACAGTGTTATCTGAACCCTACTGCCAGCTATGTCAGTGTTCCCTACAGGTGACACAGTGTTATCTGAACCCTACTGCCAGATATGTCAGTGTTCCCTACAGGTGACACAGTGTTATCTGAACCCTACTGCCAGATATGTCAGTGTTCCCTACAGGTGACACAGTGTTATCTGAACCCTACTGCTAGATATGTCATTGTTCCCTACAGGTGACACAGTGTTATCTGAACCCTACTGCCAGATATGTCATTGTTCCCTACAGGCGACACAGTGTTATCCGAACTCCGGGCACTGCATGCATCATATTATGACGTCATACGATTAATAGTGATACAGCTTTTCGGCGGAGAGTTTTGTGGTTACCGTGGCAGCGGGTAATATTTTTTCCAGTTGTCACCCTCCTGCGAGGGGTGACACGGAAACTTGTTAAAGTGTCATTGACCAATGAAATTAAAGTATTTCACATGAAGGTAAGATAAAGTGTTATCTGAACCTTACTGCCAGATATGTCAGTGTTCCCTACAGGTGACACAGTGTTATCTGAACTTATAACACAAGGATACAGACGGTCAAACGATTTATACTAACATATGTACTCAAGATCAAAGTAACTGAATCTATATATATTTGCTTCTCACAATTTCTATGTCTCACAAGTTTACACAATTTTGTCAATCAGTTGAATTTTGTAACAGTTGCCAACCATGTATGACAGTATCTTTGGTCTTGACAACTTTGTCAAATAATGCAACGTATGTTATATTTGAGATTATATTTTCTCTGGAAAGTACAGATTATAGCACATGTTTGGTTTGAGTTCCTTCTGTGGCCAGTTCCACAAAGATGGAAGCCTGACAACTGGCCTGTCTAGACCAAAGACATTGTGTACCCCTCTGCCAGGTGGAAGATGAAAGTCTGACCACTGGCCTGTCTTGACCACAGACTTTGTATACCCCTCTGCCAGGTGGAAGATGAAAGTCTGACAACTGGCCTGTCTAGACCACTAACAGAGATCAATAACAGTTTCCTTGTCAAAGAGTTTGTGAATTGTTGTCATCGTTGCTGAATCAAAGTCCCCCTGGGTATGCCATCAAAGCGTGTCGCTTG